CACATTCTGAGCTGCATCGGACATTCTAAGAGAGACTTAACATTCAATACCCTTAGCTGATCTGACATATGTCAGATCTTTTGAGTATAAGCAACAACATGTAGATGTTGCCTCTAAAAATTTTGAATTTCTAGGGTGCTTGCTTTATATATATATATATATATATATATATAATATATTTTATTCCAGCCCTCTTGCTTCAATGCTGACATACATTGTGGTATAGTTCCAGCTTTCTCTGTTTTTTAAGTTCTGGGCTTTGAAAGGTTTTTATCAGAAAATGAGATATCTGATAATTTTGTCTGTGATAATTAGAAAAAATGCTTATCATTGTCTGCCATTAGGTAAATATGTATGTTTTTTGTGTGCTCTCCAAAAAGTAAACTATAGACATATTTTTTTAATATTTCTCTTTGATTTAAAACTTTATTTTATGCATATTTTTATGAATTGTATTTTCAAGATAAATAATAATATTTGGTACTTTTGATTATCTGCCTTCCCCTGCCAAAAATTCAACAACCATGTTCTGCCAAGCTAAGGTGCAAGAGACAACTGATATTTTCACAAATGAGTCACTTTAAGAATTGTGAAAATAGCAACCAATTAACAAAATTTAAAAATCCAAGAAACAGCCATAGTAAAACACTTTACCTTTTTTCTCCCATTGTTCTTTCCATGTACACAGCAATCTGTTTTAACTTTCGCGAAACATTAAACAGTTGCAGAAATTCAGCATCATGCATAACTTGGCACTGAGCACACTGTTAGTTCTCCCCATGTACACAGAGATCTGTTTTTGTAAAAAAAAAAAAAAAAAGATAGAGAGAATTGTACATATTTCACATTGTGCATACTGTTATTTTCCCATGCACACAGTGGTCTGTTTTCACTTAAAAAATATCAGAGAATTGTACAAATTTGGCATCGGTATACAAATTTTTATCCATAAAATTGGGTCATTTACTAAACACATCATCATGGAATGCAAGTTTTCGCATTCTCTATGTTAACCAAACTGCCATATTTTTGAAGAAATGCAATTCTTTCTTCTTCAGCTGGCAAACTCTACAGTTTCATTATGATTCCTTACAAGGAAAACAACTACACTCAGTGCAACAAAAACAAACATTAATGTTTGAATTTGAAGGTGCAAACATGGCTTCTATTACGTAATTAATCAACTACTGTTGATCGAAATTGTGAGAATCTGCTGACGTATGCAGGTTCTATTTATATAACTGATTTAATAAACAAGAACAAAATTCATTTACCTGTTCTGATGCATTGTTGAATCTGACGTGATGTTTCAACTGGCAATCTTCTTCACAGAAAAACCACAATTCTATTTCTTGACATCACATTTTATTTACATAAAACATTCAAAAGGAAAAAATTAATATTTAAATACATTTTCTTGTACAGCCATTAGAATGTTCCTCACAGCTTATAACTTCGGTTTCTAAATCCTCTTCAGTGGCATTGCCCTTAATCAATAAATCTAGTACCTCTGAATCATAAGATTTTAACTCAGCAGTTATCATTTGTAACTTCACAGTTTTATCTTTTAATACAGTTTTATCTGCTTGAGCATCTACTAATTTCGTTCTTTAGAATATTAACCGTTCTGGTGAAAGCACTGCTTGCTGTTGCATGTTTTTTCTTTATCATATCAACATTCATTTTTACTTTTAACTCCACTCAAATATTTTATCTTAAATCTTAAAGTAATCCTTTTAACATAATCTTATTTCCTCAATCCTTAATTGGATCTTACACATTAATATCTTTTAAATTAAAATTACCTTTAATCAAGAACATAAAACTTATATATTTTAAGCTGAAAATACTAAATACAGTACAAAGTCCGTAATCCGGACTCGTTGGGACTTCGGCGATTCTGGATTATAGATCAATTTAAATCTTGTAAGATGGCATACAGAAATTATACAATTAAAAATATGAAATCGTAATTTATGAAATAAAGAGCAATTATGATCTAAAGGGTGTCAAAATTTACAAAAAAAAGAGCTTAATATTTATTTGTTTACTGTATTAAACATTTCTTTCAATGTAAGTTGTTTAAGTTGCTTCGTTTTTTGTGCTAAACGTGCATGCGTAAACATTAAACGTGCATGCATAGCATTAAACACGCATGCATAAAGCATACAAAAAAAAGGTTTGAGGCTTTGAGGTCCGGATTATAGATCATTCCGGATAATGGACATCCAGATTACAGACCTTGTACTGTATCTATTTCTGTTCGACTTAAATATTAGCATGCTTTCATTCTTTAAAATGCATCTTCATAAAATAAACATATTTCAAGTACTTCCGTTTTCGAAAGCATAAATAACTAGTTCTTCTTTAGGACAACACATCCTAATGGCGGAAGCCAACTTTATTATATTATGTAATTAATCAACTACTGTTGATCGAAGTTGTCAGAATCCACTGACGTATGCAGGTTCTATTTATATAACTGATTTAAAAAACAAGAACAAAATTCATTTACCTGTTCTGATGCATTGTTGAATCTGAGGTGATGTTTCAGCTGGCAATCTTCTTTACAGAAAAACCACAATTCTATTTCTTGACATCACATTTTATTTACATATAACATTCAAAAAGAAAAAATTAATATTTAAATACATTTTCTTGTACAGCCTCTGTTTTTCTCTCATGGCTGTACGAAACAATTTATCCATCACACGGATTCAAAAACGAACTATCTACTGGTTACAGAAAAAGAATAAAAAAACAAGATTTTAATTTCTCTCACAAGTGGAACACCTTGCGCCCTCTAGTGAGAGAAAGACACAGATAAACATTTAACAGCCTTCAGTGGAAATCAACATTCATCTCCTGCACATGAGCATAACTGGCGTTAAATACACATTGCTGACATCATGAGTTGCCTATTTTGGTAACACAGCATGTTGCCTTGTAGATACTTTTCAGAGGGTTGGGTGTAGATATTCAGAATGCCTAACTTTAGGGGGGCATTGATTTAAATAAATTTTACACCTAAAGTGCTGCTTATTTCCATCATGTTTATTAATTCTTAAGCAAAATGATTTATTTCTTCTGTTTGTTTAATTCCATAATTTAATTTACTATGCAATTTTAGTAGGAAAATCCACATCTATCTGAATCCCAAATAATTAAGATTCAGCTTTAGGATGAATCTGTAAATGTAATACATTTTTTATCTCATTACTCATAAAAACCTTGCGATGAATTTTATGGTTAGTGTAGTGAAAGTTTCACAGGAATTTTTAAATAACTAATCTAAATGTTATCCAAATCAATATTTTATATATTTAACAGTAGGAAGATGTAACATCGGATGGCATTTTTAATGCTGAAATGACTTTATTATAAAATGAAAAATTGTTACAAGGTAGTTTTGATGAAGCTCAACTATTTTTAAAAGGTAATATTCAGAAAGTTCACGATGATTCACTGTATTACAAAATTATTAGTTCAAAAGAGCTTTGTCCCTAAGGGACTGTTGTTTACATTTTGTGAGGAATCACTCTGAATGTCCGTGTTACTTCTCAAACTGTTGCCACCAAATGTTATCGCCCTGCATTATATTTGAAGAAATTAAATAATGAAGAATCTGCATAAATGTATGTATGGTTTCTTGCATTGTGTTAAAACAATGGTACCCAGAGCCATCAAATTCTGAATGATGTAATCCTACTGCAAATATGGGCATCTGGAAGACCTAATTTGAAATTTGGAATTTGTTTTATTATTGATTTCATGTTTTGTAAAACTTCAATGAATTTTTTGATTAACAAACTCAAGGATGAAACCAGAACTAAAACATAATTTCTTTAAAGGCTGGAGGCAAAGATGGATTGGAATTAGGGTCGTTAACTGGAACAAAAAGGTTTTTCTTAATGTGAAATGCCTCTAGAAAATTCAGTTCACCTATGGAAGATGTTTTTTGAATAATTTTGGCTGCAGAAAAATTGAAAGTGTGATTTTCAGGCCAACAATGTTGGGCAACAGAAGACTTCTGTGTTTCCTTTTTTCTAACGTATGCCTCATGCTCCTTAACCTGCAATTTTAAGGCTCTCTTAGTTTGGCCAATGTAAATTAAACCACAATGGCAAGGAATCCTGTAAATACCCCAAGAATTCATATCTGGAATGGGATCCTTGAGTATGGAACTCGGAATAATATTGATGGGAGAATAAACAACCCAAAAGTTAAACTTTCTGCAAAATACATGCAACAAACTCAAGGATTTCAAAGCGAGCAATGGCAACGTTGTACAGAGAAAAAAAATTTTATCTCCAGTGCGTGAGACTGTGTATCAGAAATTCTAAAGATATGCTCAATTTAAAATTATTTTGCGATATTGCTCTTGAACTGAATTTTATGGTTTAAGTATGAAGAACATGATGTTCAATAAATAAAGGTAACACACAAAATGTTTAAAAAATACCCCTTTGGGCGTAATTTAAAATCTGAAATGTTTCAGATTTTCTTTTTACTATTTTTTAGTATTTATTTTCTTTCTTTTTTGTTTCTGTTGTCCTTTATCATTTTATTTATAAGTTCCAGATGTGACAACTAAAAATACAGATTCTTATTTTGAAAGTATTGCAGGAGACCTCTATGTCAGCTTGCTTTTGAGGCATTGTCTGATAGTGCCATTTATTAGAAAAGTGTGTTAACTTTACCACTTCTGTTGTGATGTTTTTGAACTTTTAAATAATTTTGGAAGTCGAACTAAAGTATATACAGCATAGAAAATACATAGTACACCACAAGGCAAAAATTCACTCAGTCACCACCAGGGATGGATTTACGTATAAACTGCCTTAACAAGTCTAAATCTGGCTGTGGTCACCACAGCCAATATACAGGTCTGTCTGGTGTAAACATTAGTTGGTCACCTAGTTTTTGCATTTCTATATGGTTTAGCAGTCTTAAGAATAAAACACTGAAAATTTATTTTTAAGAGTAAAAAAAAAAAAAAAAATTTTTTTTTTTCCCCTCCCCTATGAAGCTAGAATTTTATTTACATTTCGTTATTTCAGGCTGATTTAAAAGTGGTAAATGATGCTAAAGGTGGAACTGTATATAAAGACCATTTACCGCTATTGGGTAAGTAATATGCCATTTATTTCTTTTAAATTTGTATTTTAAATGCTTTTGTGTCTGTTTTTAATCATTGTATTTTTTAATCATTTAAAAGTAATTTTTCTTTTTTAATTAGAAATTTTTCTGTATTGTCCTTTTGGCCTTTTCCTTTTGAGTAGTAAATTTATAAAACTTATATTTAAATTCATCTAAAAGGTTTCAAAGTTAAATTCTCTGAGCCAGTTCTAAGTTTCTAATAGTAACTAGTGGCAGTGTTGACTCACAGCTGAACTATGGAGAAGTTCAAATGGAATTTTTAATTTACAGGCAGTATATGTTATAGTGGTTTAAAAGATGTTTAGCAAGAAGCAGTAAAGTTTTGAATTAAGCCTATTCGAAATTATTGCAGAGATCTAAAATGGTTTATGCAACCTACTAAGATTCAGCATACTGCAGTGTTGTGATTTACTTTTATATAGTACAATCTATGGACAGGAAGTGTTTACAACTAAAGAAAATCAATGCAATTCTAAAATAATAATTTCAATAAATAACATGTTACAGTCAAAAGTCATTAATTTGGACACCCATAATCCGGACCTCAAAGCTACAAACTTTCTGCGCATGCGTCGTACTGACGCATGCGCATAGGCGTTTACGCATGCACGTAAGACCTTTACGGCTGCGCATATACATTTACGCATGCTTGTTTAATGTATAACGGATGGTATAAGCTAAAATTATCTAATTATCTATTTCAGTTAATGTTGCAGATTGTGTTGTTCCTTAATCTTCGACTTGGATCCGGCTTATTATTTTTTGCAGACTGTTAGAAGCAATTTTATAAAGTAAGCTTGAACTTTCGATTATGTCAAAAAGAGTTTCAAATTCTGGAGCTCCCAAGGCTACAAAGCGAAAGTATGTTTCGATGTCCATCAAACATAAAGTGGAATTGCTGAAAAAAATGGATAAAAGGCCTGAAGAAAGTGACAGAGAGGTTAGTGAAAACGAAAAATTTCGATTGACAAGTTAGTCGGTATTCTCGGCACAGCAATTACAGGACTTGAACGCGGAACTTTGTAACTGAACAAGAAATTATGTCTGTTTATATAGAATTAAAGAGAAAGTATTAGCACATAAAACTAAGCACTTAAAACAACTTACATTGAAAGAATGTTTAATAAAGTAAACAATAAATATTTAGTTAGCCCCCCCTTTTTTTTTTTTTTTTTTTTTTTTTGGTAAATTTATACCCTTTAGATCATAATTGTTCTTTATTCATAAATTACGGTTCATATTTTTAATTTTATAATTTCTGCATGCCATCTTACCAGATTTAAACTGATGATCTATAATCCGGAAAAATCGATAATCCGTAATCGCCAAAGTCCCAATGAGTCCGGATTAACGACGTTTGACTGTATTACAAATACTAAAACAATAATTTCAATAAATAAATGCATAAATTTATTAATTTATGTCCAAATAGGGCAATGATTTTGTTGTACATTATGTATACTATGGGGAATACACACTAAGACATAGCCTGTTGTAATAAACTACTTTAGGCTTAGAATATGATGACCTGTGGATCCCAACTACAATATTGTTCAGCCTGTTCAGGACTATACAAGGACCATCCCAGGGTGATTGTAGTTTAGGAGAAAGTCCTTTCTGTTGAATCGTATTCAATAACCATGTCCTGTAGTTCTCATGTCATATCAGGTTTTCATCTTTTCCATCACCAAGTTGACTGACTCGCCCTCATGCAAAATTGTGCATCACTTCAAACCGTGCTTGGAGATCTTGGATGTACTCCTCAGAAGATGAAGGTGCATCTAGAGGGTGACCCAACAACAGATTACAAGGCACACAAAGGTTCAAGACCAAAAGGCATCTGGGAAGGGTAATTTCAGATAGTCTCACAGACAGCACCATGATAGGCCATTAAGAACAGTGATAACTTCTATCAGTCCTTTCGGTTTCTTGAAATCATTAGCAGGAGGTTATTAATGAAATTTCTACCTCTACCATGCCACCTGAATTTGGATGTAAAGGAATCGTTCATGTTTTGTCTATGCAGAGTAGTTTGTCTTTAATTACAGCCAAGATAAAATTCCTTCCTTGATTGCAATGTAATTGAAGACGCACTTGAAATCTGGATATCCAATGTTGTATCATTACTTTTGCTACTGTGACAACCTCTTAATCAAGGATAAGATATGCTTCAAGCCACTTTATAAAGTAATCAGTGACAACAAGCATGTATTTTTTGTTTTTAGCAGACTGTGGCAGAGGTCCCAGCATATCCAGGTTTCTTTGTGACAATCCTTTCTGATGATAGTGATTTCATAATCCAGGAGTCTCTGTATCTGTCTGACTATTTGGCCTTATCAATTCTTGAAATTAAAGAGCCAGGCCAGTGACACATCTGTACGGAGCAGGAATTTTCTGCCGTAGAAGTCAATGGTGGAAATTTTCTGTAGCTTTAACTATGGCAAGCAATTCTTTTCTGGTGACACAGTAATTCCTCTCCAGTTTAGATAAACACTTGCTCCAACATGCTATGACATGCTTTTGACCATTTATTTCTTGGGACCAAACAGTATCAGCATTTTCATTGCTCGCATCTGCATCAAGAATAAATATTTTGTCAAGCTAAGGACATGTCAGGATTGTCACAGGTGTTAAATTCCACTTCAGTTTGTTAAATGTATGCTAACATTCTTTCGTCCACAAGAGCTTTTGCTTACTCTCTGTCAGTCTATGAAGGGGGTCTTGTGAAGGAAGAAAAAGTCCTCCACAAATCTCCTATAGTTAGGTATAAAACCTCAGGAAACTTCTCAGCTGATGAATGCTTTTAGGGTGTGTCCAGACTTTAACTGTTGACACTTTTTCTGGATACATGGACACACTTTTAGCAGACATGACTTGTCTGGGGCAAATCAGTTGCTGTCTTAACAATTTACATTTGGCGGGACTTAACTATAGATTGAGTCCCGCCAAATGTAAATTGTGGATAGATTGGCTTCCTTCAATTTTGGGAGCACCTTCCTGTTATTTTTAAATGTTCTTCAAAACTTTTCCTAATGATGATCATTCAGATATGTCACATAGGTTTTAGAGGAAAGCTGTCTCATCATGGTCTTCATGTGGCAATCTATTCTTGCCAGTCCATTACATAATCCAAATGGCATCACCTTGAGCAGCCAAAGTACTTGTTTGGTAGTAAATGTGGTTGTTTTTTCATTATCGGTATAAATCTGCCTGCTAATATCCAATCTTTAAATTAAGCAATGAAAACCACTTCCAGAAAGAGTGTTCAGAATGTGGTTAATTCTAGGAAGAATATAGCTGTTTCTACTTGTGACATTATTCAGCCAGTTGTGGAAAAACAAAATCTAGTTGAACCATCTTTCTTTTTTACCAAGACAATGAAAGAAGCCCAAGGACTTGCTAAAGGTATGGTAACATCGTAGAGACATTAGGATTTTTTTTGGGAAAAGCCGGAGAGATGAAAAATTAAAAACGCTTTCACCGGGAATCGAACCATGGACCTCTGGAATATCGGCCCAGTGTGCAGAACCACTACACCGCGGAAGGCATGCTAGAAAAGTGGGAGAAATACCTTATATACTCCCCTTTTTAAAGAGCGACTGGGGTTTTCAGGGTACCCAATCGCCAAATTCTGGATGTGGAGAGTCATCATCCACAACCCTTTTAGTTCAGCCGCCACTGTAGAGACTATAGGATTTTTTAATAGCGGGCAAGATGAAAAATGAACAAATGCCTTCGCCGGGAATCGAAGCACGGACCTCTGGAATACTGGCCCAGCATGCAGAACCACTACGCCACGAAGGCATGCTAGCAAAGTGTGGGAGAAATACCTTATATATTCCCCTTTTTAAAGGGCGACTGGAATTTTCAGATGACCTAATTGCCAAATCCTGGGTGTGGAGAAACCTCATCCAATACCCTTTTAGTTCGGGCACGGCTGTGGAAACATTAGGATTTTGTGGAAGCAAGAGAGATTGAAAAATTAGCAGCTGCCTTCGCCGGGAATCGAACCACGGACCTCTGGAGTACTGGCCCAGTGTGCAGAACCACTACACCATGAAGGCATGCCAGGAAAGCAGGAGAAATACCTTATAACATCACTTTTTTTTATGTCCTTTAAAAGTCTTCCTATCTCTTCCTGTTTAGCAGTCTTTATATATATCTTGATGTTGCTTGGTGGATGATCTCCCATGTCAAGTCTAAGCTGTGCTAAACTGGTTTGATTTATGTCAGAAGATGTGTGGGAGAAAACACCTTGAAATTCTTCAGTGACATGGCACTCTCTCTTCATCATGTAGTTGTGCATCCGCCAATAACTGCAATATTAGGCTCCGCAAAGGTGCAGAACTACTGGTTTGTTTAATGCAGATGACTGGAGTATATACTGCAACCACTTCACTTTTCCTAATGGCTTTCACCTTATCACTGTTGTTGGCAGCTCTTCCCAGGATGATGGTCCTTTAATAGGTCAACCTGTGTTGAGGCTAATAGTACTTCTTTTGGACTCTTAAAATTCTCGTTATGTGGTGCCAGGAATTTATGTTTTCAGCTATGGATCTTGGAAGTAAAAATTCCGTTCCTGCTGATACTGTTATATTATCATGAGCTATGGTTAAGTTGAGGGACTTAACTCCTTCATTTTTAATTCCAATCAAGGTTATGTCCTCAGAGGCAGAATGCAGTTCTTTATTCATAAAGTGCAAGAAAAAAATTGCATTTCCTTAGAAGTCTAATCCGAGTATGCAATGGCCTGTACTATCTGGCATATAAGCTGCATAATGGTAGGCGGCACATCCAGATATTATGTTAACATTTAACTTTCCATCAATGTCGATTTTATCCTGGGACATGGTCTGGAGGGTGATGAGTTTGCCTTCCAATTATTGAGCCTAATCGTTTTGGATATATTAATGATCATATTGCAAAGAACTATACTGATATGTCCAATGATGAAAAGTCCATTACTGCCACTACTCATTGCAGAAATATGAAGTGCTTTAAAATGAGACTTCTTATTATCTGGCAACCTTCGCTCTTTGAGAGTTGGCCAACAATTAGTTTCCCTCCTTGCTGAGAGCAGTTTTAGCTGGAAGCTAAGACTGCCTTGGTTTGTTCTGCAGTTCCTTTGTACATGACCTTCATCACCTCATTTCTGGCACTTTAGGATCAGTTTCTTGTCATTTTTATTCTGTTTGAAGGCATTAACTTGCCTGGTTAAATTGTCTAGATGAGCATTCACTTGATCCACTGGCTTCTGGACTGGAGCAGCTCTGACTGAGTAGCGGTCCCTGCGAGTTTGCTTGGTGAGCTGTCTCAAATTTCATGACGTACCTTAAACCACTTTTTTTAATCCTTTCTATGGGCTTTCTGTATCTCAGAATCCCAGATGCCATTGATGAAGTATTGCGGGACAGTATTTTCCTTGTTTCTGTTTTGGGAGTCCTAAAAAGTGAGATGAGACAGCCTTTCAGCATCTGTGCGAGCTCGTGGAGTGTTTCCATGAGCTTCTGTTGGTGAGATTTTTAACTGAAGCATGCTATAGTCTTTTAAGCACTTCTTCCCAAATCACAGATCTAGTGCACTAGACAGTGCTTTGAAGTCCTGCATCTTGTTTTCAGGAAGAGTTTGAAGGATGTCCACTGCGTCTGCTGTCAGAGAAGCGGCAAGATGAAAGGCTTTAGCTTCAGAATCACATCTATTTGCATTTGCTACTCTAGAGAACTGAGTCTTATACATTTGCCAGGAGGTGTTTCCATCTTTCTTGGTCTGCTTTCATATCTTCTTTAAATACTGCAGAGGTTGTCTCAGTTGCTCATCGACTGCTCTTGCTTCTGACATTCAATCTCACTTCTGACACCAAAAATTTCCATTCAGGTTTGTAATGGATTCTTTGTACAAAGAATGCATGATAGCTTGATAAAATTTATTTTTCCAAAAGTAACACTACAATTTTGGAACTTTTCACAAAAGTACTTATACAGTTCTTCTCAGTATCACGATCAGCAGTTATCACTTTAGGCTATTAAGAACGTAAAACACAATGCAGTGCAAGATGCATCTAAAAAGCGAAGCTCTCATGGAGATCTCTCAGTGCACCAAAATCAACTTTAAACTAAAAACTGACATGATCTCTGGTCTTATATAGTTTTCCTCAAGCCACTGAGAAATTTCCAATAAAATTTACTTGGCCCTGCAATCTTATTTTCTGGCAGAACTTTGCATTTTTGAAGCATTTCATGCTATATAATACAGGATATTCTACAATTTTACATATATACAAAATTCATAACAGTATGAAGTGAGATTTTTGAAGCTAAAGAATAGACAGAGTAAACTCCATGTTCTGCAAAGAAAACATGGGCCAGCTTTTGCAAATATTTCATTTTTCTTGATACTTGAAAATGTTTGGTTTGATTAGCTGGTTTGTGTTGTGAGAGAATCTTCTTTTGCACAATGCAAATATTTTGAAAAAGTTGTTAATTATATTCCAAATTTATCTAATTTTTGTTCCTACAGGCATTTTCTGTTCTGAATAAAATCTCACCTTAACCCTCTAAGCGGCAAGAATATTTTTTAAATATATCTAGAATATTCTATATTCTCCAGAATATTTTTTGTGATATCTGTAAGAAAGAATATAAAAAAAAAAAACAATTTGTTCCCATAGTAGTTTTGGGAAATTTGTGCTTTCTCAGCGAAAACCCTGGCCACTCAGAGTGTTAAGAAACACTAGTTTAAGAGCATTTCAGAAATTCAGAAGGGTATTGCAAATAGGGCATTCAATCAATAAATTTGAACGGGCAAATTCAGTAGCTGTATGGAAATTCTGAGAGATGTGTAGCATTAGAAGAATATGAAAAATGAAAGCATAGAGAAGGCTAAAAATCACAAAGCTCCTCTATTTCTAAATTTTTTTTTTTATTTTATTTTTATTTATTTATTTTTTTTTTAATTTTATGATCTGAGTGCTAAAATTATGTATGCACACTGTATATTATTTACAAAGACTTTATTTTTGTTGATTCTATTGCAGTAGGATCTTCACTATTTTGTTATCTTCAGATCTGAATTTCTTTTATCAGTCAAGTGCAAAATATTATATAGTTCAGGGGATCTGAACCAGGAGAGAATTTCATAGTTTCAGGGAGAAATGCAGTCATTTTTTTACTCACCTGTTAAATATTTAGTTTTAGTTTATTAATATGAAAAGCCTACGTTTATTGAACTTATGGTATTTATTTATATTTTTTGTACTTTTTCTTGGTTAATTTATAAAACATTAAAAAATATCCAAAATTTAATTTAATGCATATGTATTTTTTGAGTTTTGAAAAGAAGGGAATAGATGATCATCTAACAATGGTGAAAAGGATGTATGGGTCCAAAAAGGTTCAGAACCATTTTTATATTTGCGTTATGTATCATCTTCAGATACTTTATTTTTGCTAATTACAGGCAATTACTTTATGTTCATTATATTATTCTGTTCGGGGGGTGAGTAGAAAACTGCTGAGAATGCTACATTGACATGTGTAACAATTCTTTCATTTTTCTGCATGTATAGCTATTGTTGAACTGTTCATGTAAATATAATTTTCTACATACTTACTAAGTGAAAAAATGTTAAAAGATGTAAATGAAGAATAGATTGACTTTATTTTTTGCAACACAAATATCTTTTCGGCTTGTATTTTAATTGCTTTTTTTATATTATTAATCAGTACAATCTTTTTATAAATGCTTATTAACTCTGTAGATGCTAGAGCTTTTAAGCCCTCTTCTGAATTGCCATATTTACTTAGTATTTAATACCTGAATTTGTATAATTATTTACTTTATTGTTTGTTTTTAAAAGTTCAGGTTATTGTGATAATTTCTAGCTATTTAAAAATTACTATATTGTTCTCAAGGAGGAAGAATATGAATTAATAGAAATTGAAATTGTTGCAAAAGTGAATTTGTTTCATAAGCATACACAACAATTTGTGTATGTGTTTCAGGATAATTTATTTGAAAATTGCTACCAGGCATTTAAAAAAAAAAACTTCTACACAACAATTGCTGAAGAAAATGAGATGCAGATTATAAGTGAAAAGGAAATATTAAGAAATTTGCTGTCTGAAAATCATTTAAAAGGAATGAGTTAAAATGTTAAGAAATTTGCTTTTGGAATTTAATTGTAATCTTATGTAGTAACGACTGGAAAAATAGTTATTATGAGTGAAAATTTCAGTGTTAGGATTTTATTGCACAGTAAATATTTTCTTTCCCCCTTTTTTCTTCTAATTTTTACTTTTTTTGTACTCTGTGTTTTTCAGGACATGGGCCTGGAAGATCTGGAATTCATGGCTTTCAAATCGGTGATAATGTAAATGTTGACTTAGATTTGGAAATAGTGCAATCTTTACAGCACCGCCATGGTGGTTGGACAGATGGCATGTTTGAAGTAAGTATTTAAAATTTTATTTTATTTGGTACTCTCTGATTATTCGCACTCTCACCAAAAAGTTGTACAAAAGGGAGACAAAGCAGTATATTGCCAAAACTGTTATGTGTCAACCCAGTGATATCTCTAAAAAGCATTTATGGGACAATCCAGATATGTACATAGCACATTTCTGTGTTGGCCACTGCTCATTGCTGAGTTAATGCAATTCTCAGAATTTTTTAAAGCAAAAACAGATAGCTGTGTACATGGGAAAAATAACAGTGCAAAAAGGAAGGATTTCTGGAAAAATGTAGGCATTTTATTACCATGTTTTTTGCTTTTTTAATTTTGTAGATAGACTGGCTCTTGTTTGAAATTCTTAGTGCATTGCCCTGACAAAAAGTTATTCGCCAGTGAGTTCAGGAGTGCTCTCCCAAATCTTCAGCGACCTTTCAATAATGGTGTAAATAATCAGGAAGTACCTTTTTAATTTTAAAAAGTTGAATCAATCCATAGGGCCATCTCATTAGGATTTTTCCTTCATTAAGATATGATAGATTCTGTATCTGTTTTCTCATTTTTAACATTTCAATTTGTTTCAGTGCCTTGGAACGACAGGAACTGTTGTAGGTATTGATGAAGATTCTGATATTGTGGTGTCATATCCCAGTGGAAACAGGTAATATGATTCGTAGGCCTTGGTAATAATCTGAAGTTTTCTTTATCAGATAAAGATGTATGTGGCATGTCTGCTGTGCCATATATTCGAAAAGAACAGTTTTAGATATGAAAAATTAATGATAAGTGAATGCAATGAGCTGATTTATCATTAACACTGATAGTTGCTCGATTTTGCACATTCTCTATTAAATTATACTTTGATTTTGAAACAGAATCCATTAATAAACTTACATTATGACTTCATTATCTTAAAGAACTTCTTTTAATTCCTGAAATATGAATTCTGTTTCTAATTGTTGGAACTTTTTTATAGATGATCAAATCAAATTTCCTGTCACAGATCACATTTCAGTGCTTATTACTGATAAAAATTCAAGATACTGTAACTGAATTTAAAGGGCAACTATAAAATTGTTTTTCCCCCTTTAAACAGTTAGTGGTTTTATATTGAATAAAAAAAATATACACAAACTTGGTGGTGGGTCTATGAAAATCTCAGATGCTCTTATCTGTACAATTTTTTTACACGAAGGTATGGAACTTTTTGTATTTAACATAATTCTAGAAAGTTTTTATGTCCCCATTTACTTTCCCTCCCTGTCACTACATGAATTTTATCTTTGTTTCTTCTTGTAATGAAATTGCTGCCTTAATTAAGATAAATATACTAATTTAATATAGAATCTAGTCATCTTTTTCAAAATCTATATACCAGTAATGATGAACATTCATACTTACCATCATACAAACTTATCTTATATATTTTAGCTATAGTTTGAATTACAAAAGACTCCCAATTAATTAAACTCTATTAGAATGGGCGTAAGGCCAGGGGGAAAAAATCGCAAAAATCATATTGTTGCTTTCATGCGGGTTTGTAATAGATTGAATGCTCACAGATCAGGATAATAGATAGATAAAATGAAGAAATAAATGAGCCTAAATAGATTGTAATATCAATGAGAATTTTTAATGACAGAGATTAACTTAAACATAGTTGCGTACAGCAGAGAAAAAGGGCGAAAAAGTAAGAAAGATGTACATATACATAGATACGTAATAAACAGTTACGTCATCATCACCGCGCGGATAAACGCAAACGGCGCATGCGTCAGGAGAAGCTCTCTTAAGCTAAACGTCGTATTATAATTTATGATGCAACAATCCCCCTTTCGACGATTGGCGGCTGAAAAAAAAAATAAACATTAATCGTTTACAGTTATTCCAATTAATTTACAGCACTTAGAATGTTGGCACATATTTAACGTCTATTTCATTTCTTTCATAAATTTCACAAATGAAATGATGTCTAATATCTATGTGTTTAGTGCGTGAGTGATAAACAGCATTTTTCATAAGCTTCTGTGCACCTTTTTTAACAAGTGCTTCATACTCACTTTGCATAGCCTTATGCCATTCTTCAGCATAACTTCCATTTAATGCTTCTTCTAATGTCGGATTTGTATCTTCTTCAGCAATTTGTGCTTCTTCCTTTTCTATGTTTATATTGTGGTACTCCTTTTTTAGTCTTCCTGGCTTCCCAGTCTTTGACTTTCTTTGGACGACCTGGCCCCCTTTTAATCTGCATTTCAGGTAGTGCTTCGGAATCAGAATCTTCATTATCAGATGATTCTGCCATGTTTGAGGGGTCTTCTGTTATTTCATCAGCCGATATTTGCTTTACATTCAGAGGTTCTTCCTTCTTTTTATCAGGAATATTTTCGAAAAATAAAACTTCTAAATCTTTATCATAATTAGTAGAGTTTTCAAATTCATCAATGAATCTAACATCTCGGCTTATAACGATTTTTCTGGAATTTTTATTCCACAGCCTGTATGCTTTCGATTCATTTGAGTATCCTACAAATATATGTTCTTCTGATCGAGGATCGAATTTCCCTTTAGACCTTTTATTAAGTACAAAACATTTCTGTCCGAATACTTTGAAGTGAGATACAGTTGGCTTGATGCCAAAAAATAACTCATAAGGTGTTTTGTTTACTCCCAGGCTTCGATTCGGGCAACGATTACGAATATAAACAGAACACAGTTCAATAGTGGAAAAAGGAAAGGCTTCAGCCCAAAAGGATTGGGGAAGATTACTTTGTAGTAACAAACATCTGGCCATTTCAGTTAAAGTGCGGTTCATGCGTTCAGCTCTTGAATTCTGTTGAGGAGTCATTGGTGCAGAGAATTCTCGTTTAATCCCGCATTCTTGAATATATTATTAAATTCTTCTCCGCGATATTCGAGACCGTTATCAGTCCGAAGGATTTTTATTTTCTTTCCCTAGACGATTTTCGACCGCAGCTTTGTATTTAATGAATGCATTTTTCACTTCATCTTTAGTTTTAAGAAAACTGACTTCGACATAATGCGATTTGTCGTCTATGAAAGTAACAAAATAACGCGAACCAGCATGGGATGGGACTCTCATAGGTCCACACAAATCTGAGTGAATCAAGTTCAGTAATTCATCACTTTGAAATTTTGATTCTTTTTTGAACAAAAAGGTTGCACAGGTTTTGTTTACCTCGGATACAGACTTTGCAGTCTTTTAGAGATTCAGTGTTATTAAAATTTAAATTTCTAACCATGTTATCAGACTTTTAAGTCTTTTCAAATCAGACTCATTTAAGTGACCTAATTTAAGATGCCACTTTACAAAATCACTTACCTGTGCTATTGCAGCTGTTTCAGTGCTTGGATGTATATAATAAAGATCACCATGACGAATAGCCTGCACTAGTATAGATCCATTTGGTTCTATTATTCTAGCATGTTGTTCTGTAAAAATCACTGCACGATTATTTGCAGTAGCTTTAGATGTTGACAGCAAATTACATTTTAATTCCGGAACACATAACACATTTTTGAGCGTAAGTTTAATTGTCTTATTTCCATTAGGTACTGTTATAAGGACAGTTCCAGTTCCTGTAATGTTTGCTGTTTTGTCAACTACTAGCTTTATGGTTGAATTCGTTTGAGGGTGAAATTCTGAAAATAAACTTTTGTCATTGCACATGCGAGATGTACAGCCACTATCTAAGCACCATGAGGAAGTGTTCTGATAAGCATTGTTTACTGCTAAACTAATCTGCTCTTCATAATTAGAAGCCATCATAGAACCTTGATTTCCCTTATTTGATTGCGCATATTTCTATCAGCTATTTTCTTTCTGCATTCAGATGCCTAGTGCCCAATTTTCGAACAGTAATTACACTTCAAGTTTCGAAAATTTCTTTCAGCAGGAAAATTTTTGTTTGAATTTACCTTCCATTTTTCATTTTTCTTCTGTTCTTGATTTCTTCTTTTATAATCAGTATAATATGCATTCTGTGAATCTTGAGACGATTTCCCTTTTCTTGCTTCCCATTCTTCTAACATTTTGATTTTCAAAGATTCGGGACTAGGTAACTGATCTCTTGATTCGATGGCGCATCTAAAATTTTCAAAATTTTCTGGAATACTATAGAGCAGAAGAATCGATAATAAATCATCAGCTATGTCAATTTCCATTTGTTTAAGCTTATCAACTAGTTCGAAGAAATTATTCAAATGTTCAGACATCATTTCACTTTCTGCCATTTTTCTAAATAAAAGCTGTTTTAATAATGTAGCCTTCTTTGCAGGTCCTTTCGATTCATATACAGCTTTGAGTTTATTCCACACAGCATTTGATGTCACACAATGCTTTATATGACACAGTTCACTAGGATTAATAGCAAGAATTATATCTGTGCGAGCCATTTCTCTTTTCATCTTTGGTTTCTTCAGCAGGTTTTAGCTCTTTACTGGTTACATAATCCCAATGGTCGTTTTTAATCAATACTGCTTCTATTTGTAATTTCCAACTGTCAAAATTATCTTTTCCGAGCTTTTCTATAGTAGTCAAATGCGACATAATGTAATACAGTTTCTCACAGCCAAAAAAACAAGATTGAGCGCTATAAAAATAGGCTTAACTGAAAGCTGATCAGTTCTTACCGTTGATTGTTTTTGCACTGAATTAGACTTAAGAGTTCAATGCTCGAAAACTTCAAAATGTTCATTTTAAACTACATATTTTGCTAATTAGGCACAGTTGAGACGTTCCTGGGCCCATAATCATTGAAGAAATAAATGAGCCTAAATAGATTGTAATATCAATGAACATTTTTAATGACAGAGATTAACTTAAACATAGTTGCGTACAGCAGAGAAAAAGGGCGAAAAAGTAAGAAAGATATACATATACATAGATACGTAATAAACAGTTACGTCATCATCACCGCGCGGATAAACGCGAACGGTGCATGCGTCAGGAGAAGCTCTCTTAAGCTAAATGTCGTACAGTCAAAAGTCGTTAATTCGGACACCCATAATCCGGACCTCAAAGCTAAAAACTTTTTGCGCATGCGCCGCGTTGGCACCTGCGCACAGGCGTTTTACGCGTGCGTGTAAGACTTTGACTACTGCGCATATGCGTGTGCGCAAGTGCAGAATACGTTTTCACCTGCGCGTTTAATGTATAACGGGCGGTGTAAGCTAAAATTATCTAATTATCTATTTCAGTTAATGTTAATGATTGCGTTGTTCCTTAATCTTCGAATTGGATCCCGCTTATTATTTTTTGCAGACTGTAAAAGCAATTTTATAAAAGTAAACTTGAACTTTCGATTATGTCAAATAGAATTTCCGATGCTTGAACTTCCAAAGGATCTACAAAACGAAAGTATGTTTCGATGTCCAACAAACAAAAAGTGGAATTGCTGCAAAAAATGGATAAAGACATGAAGAATGTGACAGAGAGGTTAGTGAAAATAAAAAAATTTCGATTGACAAGTTAATCGGTATTCTCGGCACAGCAATTAACGGGATTTGAACGGCGGAACTTTGTAACTGAACAAGAAATTATGTCTTTTTATAGAATTAAAGAGAAAAGTATTATCACATAAAATGACAGCACTTAAACTTAACAGCTTACATTGAGAGAAATGTTTAATAAAGTAAACAAATAAATATTAAGCTTTTTTTTTTTTTTTTGTAAATTTTGATACCCTTTAGATCATAATTGTTCTTTATTTCATAAATTATGGTTTCATATTTTTAATTTTAGAATTTCTGCATGCCATCTTATGAGATTTAAACTGATGATCTATAATCCGGAATCGCCAAAGTCCCGACGAGTCCGCATTAACGACTTTTGACTGTATTATAATTTATGATACAACATAAAATTTATTATGTCAAAAGAAACATTTCATTGAGTTCTGGAATTTTCCACAAGAATAAATCACAGGGTACAGTCAGTGGTTATGCTTTAAACTACTAAGAATGTTAAACACAATGTAATGCAAAGTTCATCTAAAGAGAAAGCTAACCCTGAGATGTCTCAGTACTCCGAACTTGCGCTGAACTAGCAACTCGCAGCAACAACTGAGAGCAGATGCTTTTACTGGTTTTGTATAGTTTTAACACAGCCACCAAGATATTTCTAGTACTTTATGCTCCTGGAAATTACTGGAAGGCAACATGAAGGTAGAATTATATTATAGTTACAGCTAATATGGTGATCAATTACATTTATTTCACTTGCAATACCTATTATACTGATGCACGGACTGGACCCAGATATTGCCAAATGGTCGCTAAGTTTGGTGAATTTTGGAAATTTCCTCCCAAATTTAGCGACAGATTTTTGTTGTCAAAACCATTGCCAGCTTGGCAATGTCTTGCCAAATTACTGAGATACCCATTTACTCATTGTTAAATGGACTTGCTCCTATATTCTTAGTTTTTGTGTATTCTTAGTATCTCATGTTACATTGCACAAAAACACAATAATTTCACATATAATTGCACTAAAACCATCAATATATGTACAAAATTCATAGCAATATAAATATTTTAGAGGTTTCAAAGCTTTTACTACCAGTGATGTTATTTACCATTTACCAGTTATTTTACTTTACTTCCTGAGTGAAGTAATATATTGCATCCAAGTATGCAAATTTTACACTTTTCTAGAACTGGTAAAAGAAATTTAATTGATAAGGGAAAAATTAATCTTGACGAATAAATGTAGAACTGAATAAGAGGAACAGTGCTGTGCATCCTTATTTCAGTGCTGTTTTGGTAAACTTATTTGTAAAATTTTGAATAATATGTTTTGTGTTTCTTTAGAACTTTTTTTTTTTTTTTTTTTTACCGTGGCACAAATTACATGTAATGGATTTATATCTGAGCACTTTCTCATGCATATTTAATAATGTGACTTTTTTTGAAAATGACTTTTCAGGCATAATATAATTATTTACGCTATTTCACCCCATAATTAATCATTTTAAAATTAATTCTTTTTTTTTTTCCAGATGGACTTTTAATCCTGCTGTTCTAACAAAAGTGAATACAACTACCACAGCTTCATCCTCTGTTTCAGGCGATGGTGCTTCTAGCCAACAGTTTGCAGTTGGGGATTTAGTTCAGATCTGCCGAGATTTAGAGCGTGTTAAAATATTGCAGCGAGGTCATGGAGAATGGGCAGAGGCTATGTTGCCTGTAAGTTACATAATTTTTGTTCTAAAAATACTATCTAATTTTTTTTTACCTGATAACACTTTTCCATTTCATGAAATAGCTTTCAGAAGAATCTATATAGGATAAGGTTTCTTGAGAACAAGTCTTTTGGCTAAACTTCTCTTCCTAATATATAAAATGTACGCTGCATATATAGAAATTATGGGATGTGTTTAGCAGCCGTAGTGTTGTACCAGTTAAACAAAAATATGTTTATGAAAAATTTTTCCTGTTCAAAATAAAAATGACATTTTAACAGTAAAGCCAGTTGTCATTTTCCCTCCACTCATATCTATGCAGCAATTTTTCTTTGCCATGACTGAAAAGTGATTGGTTTCATCTTCTCTCTCTAATACACCAACTATCTAATAAGTTCTATCAGTGTACCAAGGAAATTATTACACACATATCTGCATATATTTTTATGAAATGTACAGGTACGGTAAGATAGGTTCCCCGCAAAACATCTTTAGGGTTGCCATAAAATAGCAATTAAGACAGGGTTGTCACATTTGGCGAGAAATCGTCAATTTGGCAACGAAGTTGGCACTATACCATGGATGGATGAAGATCCTTCTGGAATGAATTCTTACCAGTTTAGCACAGAATGTTCTCGAACACAAGCCAAAAGCTCTATAAACCCTGCTGGTCCGCAGTCAGAGTGTGCTTCGTCGAAAGGGTGAGTCAGAGTGCCTCGTCAAGAGGGCGACTTAGTGCCTCGTCTAGAGTGCGAGTTAGTTTGCCTCATCTAGTAAGTCTGTGCGGAGACGATCTAGCTAACAGCCGACCAGCAAGTGCCAAGTGCATCGAAGAGTCTTTTAGTGTAATAGTGTTTCTAATATAAATGGTGGGATAATTTGCGGTTAATGCATCGTCAAGAGAGAGTGTTGAGCTCTGGAATGACTGAACCGAAGAATCGGGAGCCGTGCTCTGTGTGTCGTCGAGTGCATCACGAATTGTAGCATTGAGAGTCTCGAGAATACGTGGAGTCCTGAGTACGACCGAGCAGAGTCGGGAGCTGTACTCTGGTGCTTTGCAGTCAGTGGAGCTGTCTCCACTGTTATAGCCTGATAACCTGAAGGCTGTGTCTCTGATTGTGTCAGCATGTTTATAGTAGTTTTTTGATGAGTGTGAACGTGTTATTGGAGCTGTCCTGATTAATTTTGGCTAAATAAAATGTGTTTCGATACTTCATCATCAAGTGTCGTCATTATTCATTCCAAATCCTCACGAACCCCGTACGAACGTGAAGGAAGAAAATTATGTAACACCTGGTGTCAGAAAAAACGTAACAATAGTGTGTGTTTGAAGCTACTACAGATAAAGCATTTTTCATATAATTTTTCAGATATAATTTTTTTTAATAAGACATGTATGATTTGTTTTAAACGTAAATGTATATTTTATTTACGATTTTAGACTCTGGGGAAAATTGGCAGAGTTCAACAAATCTATCATGATAATGATTTAAAAGTAGAGGTTTGTAGTACCTCATGGACTTACAATCCTGCTGCAGTTACTAAAGTAGCTTCTGATGGAGCAATTCCTGGAACATCTAGTGGAGGTACATATTTTTATAATTTTTATCAAATGGAAATATTTTTTGGCTAAATATTTTTATAATTTTGTATTTAAATATTTTTTATTCATTGCTACAGTTTTGCAATTTTTCTGGCTGTCTTCTAAGACAGAGATCAGCAACTTTTTACCATCAAATTATGTCAACATAATTTTGCTGATTAATTTGGTATGCCAACCTAAGTTTCTCATAATTTAGTGTGTTGCTGCAATACTGAAATGCATTAACTCACTCTTTTAACCAATAAATGAAATCAGGTTTCGTAAGGTTCTTAAAAATTCTTAAAAGTCCTTAGGTTTTTTTGTTTTTTTTAATCGATTTCTGGTCCTTAAAAGTCATTAATTTCGGCCAAAATCGGCAGAAGTTCCTTAATTTTAATCATCTGAAATTTGTCTGTTTTTAGAACTGCCATTTTGAGTGTGAATTAAACATTTTCGAGGAATATTTTTGGCAATTCACTGACAAACATGGTTATTTTTTGAATGAGATCATGGGTTATTATTTCATATTTCTAATATAAATGGTTGGATACTTGAGTTTTTGAGCAAGAAGTGAAATATAAGCATTTCAAAATTATTTAATTTTTTCCTAATAAAGAGCTCTTGTGCAACTTTTCACTTTTGGGGATGGGAATTCTTTTATTAAAAAGGTCTAAATTTGGCGATTTATCAACATTTTAGCGATTTTAAGGTCAGTTTCTATAAAAATTTTAAATTCGGAAATCTGAGAATTTTTCGATGATTTTTTTAAAACATCATGACATTGATAAATTTCATTAAAATAATGGTAATATATTGAAATTATATTTAAAAAATAACATTACAATAAAACATTTTTAATTTTCACTGTGTATTAAAATGTTCCATTTTGGCCACTTATACAATATCATGGTAAGAGGTTTTGCCCATGTAATTGTCTCAGAATTCTCAGAATATGCATCAGTTTTCTCTATAAAATTAATTTTACACTTTTCCCATCTGATTTTTTTCCTAAGTATTTCTGGCTTTTTGCTGCTACAGAATTGGTAGGGGTAATTTTTCTTTGGGATTTTAGACATTGCAGGTTGGAAAGTTTACAAGGGTTTGAGGGCAAGATTTATTGACTCATCATTCTAGAAGATTACAAAATAAAAAATGTCTCCGTGGTATTAATACATATTGGATGTATTTTACAGAAATTGGTGATAAATTTCTTATTTTTTGGAGAACTTATGGAAGAACAATGAAAACATAATATTTGAATGTGTTACTTCTGATATTAGAATCTTTTTCTTAAAATGTTTATCTTTCCTTTATTTTCTCTACTTTTCACTAGGTAAAAGCACGGAAAATGTCAAAAATGCTTCTAATCTTATTACATGAACAGGCATTATACAAAGGTATTTTTTAACTATAAAGAAATTGAAACTGACAATTTAAAAGATTCATTTAATATGTCGTAATACATCATACATAGGGCTGGTGCTAGGCATTTTCTCACCTGATGCAATATCTGTGGATCCTAAATTCTGTTGCCTTGTGCCTTTATAAATTCTGCTTCCAATGCCTGCTCTAAATTCTAAAAGTTTTGCTATTTCTAGATTTTGTTGCTTGGTGTGTCACTAAATTCTAAAAATTCTGCTATGCCAACTCTGTAACCGGCCCTTACCATGTATGTTTCATATTTCTTCTGAATGTTCATATTACTAAAGAAATTAAATTAGCAGCTTTTTCTGTACATTCTATATACATTTAGCTTTTTAGCATTACGGAAATCTTTTATTAAATCAAAATTTCTAAAAGGAAAAGGAAAAGGAAACTTTTAAAGGGGGGGGAACTGAATACATAAAGAGAAAGAATTATTCTTCAAAGATATGTACATTTATTATGTAAATTACCCAGTTGTTTCTAATTTCAGGCTTTACTATAATTTCCCGTGTCTGTTTTGTCACCAGAATGCAAATCACTTAGACGGTTTTTAAACTGAGGTTTTTGGAGTGTAAGACAGAGTGTGTTTCTGACTTCTGCTTGCTTGCTGCACTAGTTCCTGTCAGCTCTGATAATTTGTAATTTTCCATCTTTGCGTTATCGCTGCTGACATTTGAATGTGTTATGAGGATAGAGTTGCTGAGTCAGCTTAAATTAAAATTAAATTTCATTGTAGCTTGGAAACCACTAGTCCACATTTTTAGTTTTCCACATTCTTTGACCACTAGTCCACATTTTTAGTTTGAATTTGACTCTTCTTATTTAATTAGATCACGGCTAGCTGTATTTTTTTTTTTGTTGTTGTTGTTGTTGTTGTTTTTAACATAAGAACATGTGTTTATGTTCTAAGTTCTTTTTAAATAAGAGGTGTATTTAAACCTTTGTCTGACTTTGCTTTCAGACATAGTGATAATTTACTTCATATCTGTCAGGGGTTTTGGACTATTTAACTTTTCCAGATCAAGTAAATCTTCATAGCTCTTGTGGAGAGGTTGACAAGTTAGGAGAAAAAACACACAAAAACTAGTGAGAATGATGGTTTACGTATTGAGACAAATTTCTAATTGTTAGAAAAAATGCTTAAAGAGAAGGAAATCAATATAAATTAGCCAAATGTCTGGTAAGGTTGTAAATTAAAAAGGTGGATAAATATTTTGGTGAGTGTTCTTGCTGCAAAACAAAAATGTTTTATGTGTAATTTTCCTAATACCATTTAAGACTCGATGTCATAAATTACATGTATTTTAAACTGTGAAATTTTATTAGTTTGTGATTCCTTTAACAAATATTGTTAAAAAGAAAATAAAATTTAATAGTGGCCATGTAAATCCATTATGACTAAGGTTATCTAACTACCTAATTTAATAATATTTAATAATATAATAATTTAAATAATTAAAATAATATAAATTAAATAATATTAAGCAAGTTATGCCTTTCTATCCTTCGGTCACAGATAAAAATGTAAAAATTCATGCAAAACTATATAAAAAGTAAAAATTCATGTAAGACTTATTCTTCGCATCTAGTAGACAAAATAATACAAAACAACTTATCATCTCTGGTGCTTTATTTAAACCTTAAAGTATTTTGCGGCAAAGCAGAAACTATTAAAAATAACATTACCCTTTTTGTGAATGGCATCACTTACGTTTTTTGTATTTATAAATGTCTTTTGCTTGTTCTATACTTCATGTTTATGTTAGGAAATAAATAAGTATAAAATACTATCTCCTAATATCTGGTGCCGAAAAAAAAACCATTTACGAAACAGGACCTTGAACTTATACTTCCTACTGTTGGATTATTCTTGCTGAAATTATTTTACTTCCGACATTAAAACTTAGTTTTGTTTTTGTTCTTTTCTACTACTCGGGCAATGGCGCCGACCGGTGAAGCTGTAGACAAAATGACGCAACTGAAACGAAAGCGGAAAGCCGTGCGAAGTAATGTTTCTCGCTTTTTCTACTGAAATTGATACTTTGAACGATGATTTCTCAATTGAGAAAGTTGAATATATTTGTAATCGCTTAACAACTGCTTTAAATGATATGAAACTAATAGATTAACGAAATTCACAACTTCCTTTCTGACGATGAATATGAAAGTGATAATTTGCAGTGTGAAAACTACATAGATACTGGTGAATCCGCAATTTTCAAAGCACGAAAAATTATTCAAAATAAATTATCGCCAACTGCAAATAATGTTACTGCTTCGAATATGGATACCAATGATTTAGCGATGACATTTGGCGACCCTTCCTACTACAGTGCCTATGACTCAACCATATACAGTTAAATTGCCAACAATTAAACTACAATCATTTACAGGAGAAAAGAAATTGAACAGTGGCAATGTTTTTGGGAACAGTTTAAATCTTCTATAGATGCCAATCCACATCTTTCTGTTATTGATAAACATGTTTTCCTCAGAGGTTATTTAGATGGTGAAGCTAAACGCCTTGTTGATGGAATTAGTGTAATAGGAGACACCTATGAAACAACAAAAAAATTGTTGGAGGAAAGATATGGAAATAAAGATCGAATTATCCAATCACACTTAGATTACTTAGAACATTTAAATGTTATTCAAGACCCATCTCCTACGCATCTAAATGATCTTTACATAGAATGTAACAGAAGAATTCAAGCTTTAACTGCTCTGGGTGAAAATATTGAAGCATACGGTAGAATCCTAGTGCCAAAAATTATTCGTGCATTCCCCAATGATATTTGTTGCCGCTGGATTATCTATGCCAAGCGTGAAAAACTAAACGAAGGTAATATTACTAGATTGATGCAGTTCTTGGCAGAAGAAGTGGAAGGTGTAGTTGCAGCACAAAGAGTTAAAGGTACGTCTTTTTCTGATCACACCGTAAAGTGCACTGTAGAAAATTTTAATATCAATTCCAAAACAGTAAACAAACGTAAGAAAATTTCACCATTTTGTTCATTTTGTGATACTACAGGACATTGGCCTCAATATTGTGAAACTGTTACAGACTATGATACTCGTGTTCAGAAACTTAAAACTTCAAATCGCTGCTTTCTGTGTACTAACCGTGGTCATAGAGTTTCAAACTGCCCAAGAAAAAATACTGCACGGTGCACTAAATGCAAGAAAAGGCATCATGTTTCTATTTGTCCTCCTGTTGAAAACAATCAACTGCGGATAACTAACAGTGCTGTAAATCACATAACCTTTCCTAAAACAATTTTCACACATTTGCAAACTGCTCGTGTGTATGTTACTGGCCCCACAGGCATTACTAAATTAACACGCTGCATTTTAGATGGTGGTAGCCAAGCAAGTTTTGTTCACACAAACCTCATTGAAAAACTTAAGCTTAAAGTTGTCAGTTCTGCCTCACTTTCAGTTCAAGCATTTGAATCTTTTACTTCACAAGAACAACGTAGATGTGTTCAACTGTCACTTTCAAGTTTGTGGAGCAACCAAGCATTTTTGATCTCCGCATTTGAAAGCTCCAATTCCTATACTACACATCCTACTGCTCCACCAGAAATAGTTCACTTTGCTCAGAAGAAAAGATTGAGAATTGCTGATCCTCCGGATGACTCTTCACTGCCCATAGAAATACTTATTGGTGGTGATCATTATTGGCAAATTGTTTCCACAGAAGCTCCAATCAAGCTTTCAGAATCTTTTGTTATGGTACCGTCAGTGTTTGGATGGGTTCTTAGTGGAACAAGAACACATACTACAATCGCTGAGAAGACTTCTGTCCATCAAGTTTGTGTGCAAGTTAAAACTGATTGTTTAAATGATCAGGTACGTCGCTTCTGGGAATTAGACTCCATAGGGATACAAGATGCGCAGAAAAACGAAAATGACTACTCGAGATGAAGAAATTTTATCAGAATTTCACAAAACTTAAGCACTGAAGACAATCGAAGAATTGTGTCTCTGCCTAGAAAACCATTGGTCACACCTTTGCCTACAAACAAAATTATAGCGGAAAACAGATTTCATTCTCTTCAAAAAAGACTTGCATCTAGTGATGTGTTAAAGACACAATATGACAAATGCATGCTGAATTACATTGAACAAAAGCATGTTGAAGTTTGTTCCATAGATGAATCCAATGAGAAGCCAGTATATTACCTTCCTCATCATGCTGTAAGAAAGAAAACACAATCTGAAACCAAGTGGAGAATTGTGTTTGATGCTTCCTCGCATGCTCCAGGAATGATTTCACTGAACGATACCTTGGAAGCTGGCCCGAATCTTCTTCCTGAATCTATTGGTTGTCTACTAAGATTTCGATTGCATGAATTCGCTGTTACATGTGATGGTAAGCAAGCTTTTTTACAGTTGTCACTACATAAAGAAGATAGGGACGTCACAAAATTTTTCTGGTACAAATTAAAATCTGATTCATCTCAACCTACTACTTTTACAGATGAAATAACTGTTTACAGATTTACTCGTTTACCATTTGGCCTTACTTGCAGTCCGTTTTTACTCTGTGCTGCGACACGAGAATTGGCTGCAAAACATATCGCAGAATTTCCAATTGCTGCACCAATGATAGATAAACATCTCTATATGGATGACTTTCTTGCTAGTATGGAAACTGAATCACGCATTATAATGCTATATCACGAGATCAAGAATTTAATGGCTCTAATGAAAATTGCCTATGGAAAAATGGGCTACAAACTCTTTGAAACTCAAAGATGTACTACAAACACATGAAGAATCTCACAAAACGGAAACAACTGTCTTAGGTATGGCTGGCTGGAATACAACTTCTGATACTTTGAAGCATGCATTCAAGACTTCCCTCTGTGTTTCTACAGACAAACCACTTACAAAGAGATGGTTACTCCGCTGCATTGCTAGTTTTTATGATCCCTTAGGCCTTTTTTCACCGTTTACTATTCTTGGGAAAATCTTATTCCAAGATACATGGATTCTTGGAATCAAGTGGGATGAATTACTACCTGCTAATTTATCAACTTTATGGTATGCAGCTGTGAAAGAACTTGATGACATTTGCTCCCTTCAAATTCCTCGATGCATAGGCATTTCATCACATGTTCCTTTTGCTATTCATGTGTTTTGTGACGCATCTGAACGTGCCTATGGTTCAGTTCTGTACATTGTTACCTTTAAAGGTGACCAATCGAATGTGAATTTAGTGTGTAGTCGCAACAAACTAGCTCCTATAAAGAAAGTTACCTTACCTCGTTTGGAGCTCTTGGCGGCCCTGATGGGAGCACGATTGTTGCAATATTTCTGTGCTGAAACAAACATCTGTTCGTCAAATGCAACATTGTGGAGTGATTCTCAAGTTGTCTTAGGGTGGATACGCAGTGACCCCAACAAATGGAAAACTTTTGTTAGCAACAGAGTAACAGAAATTATTTCCTATACCAATCCTTCACAATGGAGACATTGCCCTGGCAAAGACAATCCAGCTGACAAACTTTCTCGAGTTGTTACACCATCAACACTAAAAAACCTGGAAATTTGGTGGAACGGACCTTCGTAGTTAGTCAAATCTCTAGAATATTGGCCTCATTCTGATACTATTTCTAAAGATTACAAACTTCGAGACAAAAAAAAGAAAACGTTCAGACCCTTCACATCGTATCTACTCAACCAATCATAAAGCCTGGAAACTACAGTTCTTACGTTCGATTGTTACGTGTAACATCTTGGATTCTTCGCTTTATTCACAACTGTAGGAAACGAGAAAAGTTAGTGGGTGAATTTCATGCCACAGAACTGAATCAAGCTCGTATTTATTGGATACAGACCGTTCAGAAAGAATCCTTTCCTTCAGAATATGAAGCTCCGTTGACAGAAAAATCACTCCCTAAGAAATCAAGGATAAAACAATTTAACCCTTTTTTTTTTTTTTTTTCAAGAACAATATTATACTTCTTGGTGGTCGACTACAATTTTCTGATTTATCTCATGCTGAAAAACATCCCATATTATTGGAAGGTTCTCATCATTTTACAAGCCTACTGATACGCCAAACACATTTACGAATGCATCATCTCGGTGTTCGGATTGTACTTTCTCAGCTTCGTTCAGAATATTGGATATTAAGAGCAAGACAAGCCATTAAAAAGGTGATAAAGACTTGCCTTCCATGTAAAGTACTGAAACAAAAGAGAAGTGAACAGATAGAAGCTCCATTACCAGCTGAGCGAATTCAAAAGTCATCTCCTTTCGAAACTACCGGAATTGATTTTGCTGGACCACTCTACGTAAAAAATAATAACTCCGTTACAAAAGCTTATATTGTCATCTTCACATGTGCTACAACTCGAGCTATCCACTTAGAATTAGTTTCCGATCTGCGTACTGACGTCTTCCTACTTGTATTACAACGTTTTGTGTCTAGACGTTCACTTCCTCATACAGTGTACACTGATTATGCCACAACGTTCTGCGCTGCAGACAAAGAGCTGAAATTATTGTGGGATACCAGATCCTCTGCCAAGGCACAACAGTTTTATACCCACCACAACATCAAATGGAAATTCATCGCCCCCGAGCGGCTTGGTGGGGAGGATGGTGAGAAAGAATGATAGGCTCAATTAAGCGATGCCTTCGGAAAACATTAGGTAAGGCTCTTTTGGATGACGCTGGTTTGATCACTGTATTATGTGATATTGAAGCCGCTCTCAACAGTAGACCGATTGTCCACGAATACGGAATAAAAGATGACTCTGAGGAAGCTGTAACACCCTCGCACGTCCTCATAGGAAAGAAATTAACTACTATTCCTTCCAGCCCCACAAATCCTGAAACAAATTTAAATCGTATGTGGAAGAATACTGTACGGAATGTGATCAAGGTGACAGCCAGTAACGCCTCAGACGAGAAAGAAAACCCGTTTGGGTTAGTCTATTTCTTAGAATGTCCATGTGTGTAACGTGTATACGAATCAGAGGCAGATAGCCCAGGAATGTTTTTCCGTATTTAAATAAATCAATCCCCTTGTTCTTTTTACTTGTAGCTAGAAAGTGCTGCTACTAAATGTACACATGCCTTTATGATCAATAGTTTAAACTCACAGGGATCTCCTGAAAATTATTTAAAAAATCATTTAATTGCAATTATTTCTGAAGTGTAAAGTTGGGGGAAAACTGGAAATGAAATAAATCATTCATCACCCCCCAAATTCGCAAGAAATAAATTACATTAGTAAAGATGTGTCGAAATATTAATAATCGACCATATACTTGCACCGTGCAGTTCACAAATCACTCTTGCTGTCTAAGAAAGCTTATAAAAACTATCCAACTTTATAGAAGAATTTTGCATCAAATAATATATATCAGGACTTTGGATAATATGCATGATACATACAAGGATCTAATGATTGCATTTCATGCAATATATACACTGCTCGACATTGAAAATGCAACACCAAGAAGGAGTGGTCAGAAACTTATGCAAATTTTAGAGTAGAGGCATGTCACTGAGTTATGCGAATGATGTGAAATGCGCAGCTCTCCGACGCACGTGAAGTAAGATATAAGGGAAGGAACGTGCAGAATGGCAATATTCGAGTCATTATTTCTGCCAGACGAATTATCGATGAAAGTTGGTTTTCGTCCGAGGATACGTGTAATAGGAGAGAATGCCAGGCCGCCATCAACGAAGGCACTTCCAGCAGAACTATTTTACAAGGGGTATGGTGATCGGACTGAGAACGGTAGGTTCGTCCTTACGTCAAATCGCAGCTGATACCCACATGGATGCGAACACGGTGCATCGGCTGTGGCGAACAGGGTTGGAACAAGGAAATGTGAGAAGAAGGAGAGGTGCAGGTGCAACCAGAGTGACGTCAGCACGCGTGGATCAACGCATCCGCCGACAAGCTGTGGCGGTCCCGTAAGTCACTTGTACCGCGAATTCTGCAGCATGTGCAAGATACCCTGAATGTTCCCGTGTCGACCAGAACCATTTCCCGTCGATTGGTTGAACGTGGTTTGCATTCACGCCGTCCGCTAAGAAGAGTGCCATTGACCCCAACATTTGGAATGGAGCGATGTGGACGACAGAATGTCGTATTCTCAGATGAGTCACGCTTCTGTTTATCCAGTGACAGTGTGTGTGGCGTCGGCACTATTACCTACGATTCCAGGTCACCTTTAGATCGTATTTAGGGCACTATGACGGCCCAACGATACTCGGATAATGTACTGTGGGCGGTGGCAATCCCCTACCTTTAAGGGCTGCCTAATGCAACTTTTCAGCAGAATAACGCCCGACCACACAGTGCCCGCATCTGCCAACATGCTCTCCAAGGTATACAGATACTTCCCTGGCCACCGTACTCTCCTGACCAGTCACCAATCGAACATGTGTGTATGTGATTGGACGCCGTTTGCAGACTTTGTCCCTGCCTCGTTCAGAATACGAACTGTGGCAAATGGCTGAAAGGGAATGGAGAGCCATCGCTCAGGACACCATCCGTACTCTTATTGACTCTATGCCTAAACGTGTTTCTTCATGCATCGCTGTCCGCGGTGGTCCTACGGACTATTCCGCGGTGAGACGCCGAGAGTGAAGGACGCTTCAAGGAGCTCCGGATTTGAACCCTACATCAGCGATAATTACAGTCCGAGACGTCTAGAAACAGTTGTATCGTTAAGTACATATCCTACGGAATGCGGGGATACTTGCCTCATCACTGTACGTCAATTAGATAGTGTTTTATGAATTTTTGAATTTTTAAGCGTTTTTCACGCACTTAAACGTTGTTTGCAACAACTTCCGAGGCATTTACAGCTCCATCCGGAAGCCGTCGTTAGACGCAGCGACAAGATTTTTATATCTACGTGTGCGGCAATGTGTAAGGAATACATGGACGTAAG